TGACCCAGGATAACTCACTTTATCCAAACTGACTGAAAATAATACAAAAAATTAACATTTTTGGAATTGATTAGGTGACACTGGCACAGCACAGAGGCATGTTCTCTTCAGAGAAGGTGCTGTGTCCAAGGATGAAAACTAAATTGAAGAAGCTCAAAAGAAATTCAAGATGTGCAAATTTAGAGAATCCACCCCCAATGTTCACATGTGAAATCTGTATGCCCAACCCATGGTAGAGTATTCTGAGCTTGTATTGGTCTGACCAAGCACAGTCAGATGCACTATAACTTGACTCTAACATAGCGACATCATTTTGGTCCTCTTTCAAAAGGAAGAACAACAACCATCCAATCTTGGTAAATGGTATGATATTGGTCTTATTAAATTGGCCCAGTTTCTGTCAGACTGCTCTTCACCTTTCCCAAAAATTTTGACCAATAAGAAATTCTTATCCCAAAACCTTAAATTTTCACATTTATCAAATACAGGTTTACTAACATCGGTTGCTACTGTATGATGCATGTCTGCTCTGTTCAACCGATCAGTTCATGTAATTCTTTCTGTGTATTTCTAAGAGTATCCTGCTCAATATTTCATATACTACAATAATATTCCATCACAATCACACAGCATGTGTGGTTCAGCCATTTCCCCAACTGACTGACATTCCCACAATTACCAGTTCTTTGCCACCACAAAAATAGCTGCTGTAAATATCTTAGAACATCTCGGTTATTTTCCTTTTTCCCTAATCACCTTTCTAATAGTCCTAGTAGTGGTATTGCTGGGTCAAAGGGTATAGCAGTTGAATAACTCATTGAGTATAATTCAAGATTGCTCTCCAAAATGATCAGATCAGTTCACAATTCCACAAACCATGCATACATGTCCCAAGAATTTTAAAAACATATTTGCTGTTTAACTTTTTTATTTTCACTACTCAGTGTTCATTGTTATGCATAGTGCTACCAGAGGTAAACATTCAGAAAACTCACTCATCCCCAAAATGCATACAACTGCATGCTACCATAGTACATACAGAAAACTGGTTTCTAAAAAGATTTTTTTATAACGACAGATTAAAAGGGTACCATCATTTCTGATAACAGTTATTAAAGCTGTGACTCAATTTGACAGTATTACTTTGCTATTCAGTAAAAGAAAAACTGGGAACACTAGGGCAGTGTCTGACCAATCCTAAAATATCTATCTACTACAGAAAATTAGGAAGGCAAATATTAGTGCATTTCCCATTTATTTTTATGAAGAGAACTGAGCAAAGTCCTGTTCTTGAGGTTTCAGGAGCTGAGGTCCATAGTTTAATAACTTCATTTCAATTCATCAAATTTATTTGTGATTCACATTAAATAAAAAATTTATTAAATTTTCTCTGATTGATCATGTGAGGACTCACTCAGCAATTACTTGAACAGAAAATGAGCTTTTTACTTATTGACTTCTCTCCGATTATCAACTTTAGTACTATCAACCTACAAATGAGGAGCTTTAGTCAAAGCCACTACCAGATGTAATGAACCATATGCAACACTTTTCTAGATGCTAAATTACCTAGAACCAGTTCAGTGTTACCAATGTTTGCACAGAGAAAACTGTGGTGTTATTAGTGGAGTTAAATGTCCAGTTTCTCCTTGATATTGTTGAAGGAATTTGCTCCCATAGAATCAGCCTGGCCTTGCTCCCACCACTCCTTGTGTTCACCCAAGGATAAAAATGGTTGTGAGGGAGGGTTGAGGTTCCCAATGGACATATGTGAGATTGCATCTGGGACTTTCTCTGTGAAGGTATCATTGCCAACACCAAACTGCTAGAGAAAGGTAAAATGTTGGTGTTGAAGATATCCCAACAAATAGTGAGAAATTGTGAGTCATAATGGGGTCATGAACGTCATTCCCGCAACTTTTCATTTGGGGGTTACAGTATAATTCCATAATTTGATTCATCTCAGGAGATGCATGAATTCTGCCATTGTCCCAAGGACCTTCAGTGCTGGATGGTAGAAGTATATAATAATGCTGCTTAGGTTAGAAATAAATGCCAGGTGTTTTCTGATATTTCTTCTTGCCCAACAGCTAAAGAAGATGTTCATCAAACCCTGACCCCCACCACCAAAGCTGCCCTGTTCAGAAGCCATATGTAACAGCTGATAGTGTATTTCAGTGCAAGATCAACAAAGACTCCAGAATTGAAACACTCAGACCAATCTGCGTATGGTGCTGCCAATAGCTTCTCTCTCTCTTTCTCAATAAACTCATCAACATTTGCCAGTAACAGAGTATCTGCCTCCATAAACACACATTATGAATACTGTTTAGTGACCAGAAGTAGAGTTTCTGTCTTTTCACTGAGGTTGCATAAGCTGGATATTCGCTGTCCAAGGTGTTGATCATGATGATTACATTGAAAATCTTTTCTAAACTTTGCTCTTATGGAGCTGGGGAGGCAGTCACTGCTCACTGGTGAGTGCAGAACCCAAGGCACCTCGATGAAGGGGCACCTGAGAGGAACATCTAGATCCTCCTTACTTTGAAAAAAGAATTTAAATATTTTTTAATAAGTTATTCTATCAACATTTACCCATTTGCCTTAATACTTTTCTGGCTATATTGGTCAGTCAGTCACTAGAAGTTACTTATGTAACGTCGGTTTCATTTATGATTGAAGGTCCAAAAATCTCTTCACAATGATAGATTAAATCTCTTACAGCAGTCAAAGGACAAAAATATAAACATTTATTTACATTTCCTTACAAGTGATGAATGGGACACTCTTTAGTCTCTGTGGACACTCATGATTATGCATTTGAGAGAAATAATTATTTCTCACTTACATTTAATTACTATTTCTTTAAATAGGGCCAAGATTGTGCCCTTCTACTTCCTCATTTACAAGTCACTTCCTGTGGGTAACTGAGGCAGCCTTTGAAGGCTGATACTGAGAGGGAGAACTCAGATCTTTTCAAAAGGTAAAGTTAGGTGAATTGATGGATTGAAACCCATTGAGTTTTACTCAGACAAGTCTGGGAAAATGTGGATTCTCCATTTTATCACACGAGGATATGAATCCAAATAATTCTCTTTGACCAAACCCAAGTAATTACAATCACATCCCCACATCTTCAGTAGAATAGGTTCCTGTCTTAGTATAATATTCATTCTTTCATTGTTAACCAATCAGAGTTGATTCAAACTCTCAGAAACACACATTTTTTCATGGGCATTGAATGGGTTCCATGATGGTTTTTTTTTCAAAGAGAGATGGCCAAATTGCCATCTTTCTATTAATAACATGCTAGCATTATTAATAAAATGATTAATTACTGAGAAATATGCCTCTCAAACTTTTTATATGTTGCACATAATGTATGTGAGATTTCTGTATGCATATAATACTGAGAAAATTAAAATTAAAATGGATCTGTTGAGGTTTAGAGGTGGAGAGCTGGGACCCCAAAATCAGAACACTGGGGTCCTGTTCAAATGAATAAAATTTCAGCCAATGTCATGGTATATTAGAACATTGGGGTGAGTGAGATTTAAAAAACCTGCCAGAATGGATAGAATCTTAAGCAATCTATGCATGTGTATTGCTAATACAACTGGGCCAGATGTTAAGAATCTGAGTCCCTTAAGTAGGAGAAATGGATCTTATATATAGAAAGACTGGGGAAGGGATCTAGGATTGCCCAAATAATCTGGGGTACCTGGAGGAGGGGGTCTGAGAAGGATCAAGATGAGAGTGGCCATTAAGCTGGGATTCCTGTGAGGTAACAGAATGCCAGGGACCTGGACCATGTGACCAAGGGGAGTCCAAATAGGAATAAATGTGGGAAGTGGCTGGGGGTAGTGGGAAGTGGCATAGGGAGGTAAAGCAATGGAGGGCTAGGCTAGGTTAAGGGTGACAGAGAATTGGGAGACTGGGCACAGGAGATAATGAAAGGCCAGTTGGTAAGATTAAAGCCTCAGAAGAACTAGAGGTTTGAACATATGGGAAAGTCCAGGAATTTTACTTTTTGATCCTATTTACAGCCTATTGCTTTTGTCCTGTAACTGACTGCTTAGTCCCTGTCTCTAAACTTAGTTCAGAATTCCGCTGACCTGTCATGGGTTATGTTTAGAAATCCAGTTCTCTTGCTAACTACTGTTCTATTCCTGCCTGAAGGAATTCTGGTAACCTTGGAAGATATGGTCTGCCGCAGGGGAGTTGTCCCTAATATATTTACAACATCTTCAATCCTTCACTGATGTCTGTTTTGCTGCCCAAGTAACTCTGGGCCGTTATCTTGGGCATTACAACTGGGCTCAATCAATAACCCCTTCATAGTCACCAAAAGGAGAGAAGGAGAGCTGTTGCTAGACCCCCAATTTCAAACCAGTATGGTGTTATCCAAATTTCAGCTATATAACCAATTATGTTGCCCTTAAGCACATGATGTCACCTATCCTGTTATGTTTTCTTGTTCTGTAGTTGCCAAAAACCTCTAAAAGGGAAGCTGTCCTTTTCCTTGGCATCTTTGACTGGAGAATGAGGCAGTCATTGAACCATCTTATTCTCAGGTTATTGTTCTTGATAATAGAATGTTATCTTGCTTAGAGAAATGTGCCTTAGTTTACATTCTTCTGAAATTTAACATTCAACAATACTTAATGGTAATGAGGATTTTTTTCTTAATGTGTTAAAATGTCAGAAAAAATTACTTATTATCTACCTAACATGTAAATCATGGATAGAACACATCTCAGCAATGTTGGAGAGTCTCCTTCATGAAGAAACAGGAGGTCAAATCAGCAACAAGCTTTTATTAAGCACTTACCATGTGCCAGGAAGGGTGCCAAGAACTGGGGATATAAAGGCAAAAAGCAGTCCCTGTTTTTAAGGAGGTTAGTTTCATTCAGGGAGACAACATGAAAATAATTTTGCTCAAAATATGTATAGTATATATGTGCGTGTATTTGTGTGCACGTGTGTGTGTGTGTGTATGTATATACAGGATATATCCAGCACAAAGACACTGGAATGAGGATTGGAGAAGGAAGAGGGGGGCAGAATTTCAGGTGAGAATTGAAAAAATCCAAAAGGGAGAAGAGGCAGGGATGAGGAAGAGAAGAATTCCTTTTTTCTTTTTTTGGGGGAGGGGATAGGAAGAGGAGGCAGGCAGGGAAGCAGTCAGAGTGAAGTTACTTGCCCAGGGTCACACAGCTAATAAATGTCAAGTATCCCAGACCAGAGTTGAACTCAGGTCCTTCTGAATCTAAGGCTGGTGCTGTATCCACTACATCACCTAGATGCCTGAGAAGAAGACTTCCAACCAGTGAGAACACATGGTGTAGGTAAATGAAATATCTTGTGAAAGGAACAGCAAGGAGGTCAACATCACTGAATTGCCAAGCACAAGGAAGGAAGCAAGGTAGAATAAGACAGGAAAGAGAGGAAGGGGCTGTGTTATGAAAGGTTTTAAAAGCCAAATAGCATTTTCTATTTTCTCTCGGAGGTAATACAGAGTCACTGGAATTGGGGGGAAATCATCATATCTGTGCTTCAGGAAGATAATTTTGATAGTTAAATTTAGTATGGACTAGAGTGAAGAGAGTACTGAGGCTGGGAGAACAACCAGCAGACTAGCATAATAGTCCAGTTTGACCTGATAAGGGCCTACCTCCGTGGTTGGGGTACTTTGAGGAGAGAAGGAAGAGTATTCTACATATGTGATGAAAGTACAATTTACAAGACATAACTACCAATTAAATATGGGGTAACAATGGGAGTCAGAGTCAGGCATTAAGATTCATGGCTAGCTACTGGAAAAGTTGCTTTCTGCTGGAATAGAAGAAAAAACAACACAGGCCAGAAATAGAAATGATTCAGATTCTCTCTACACCTGTTGCTGGATCTAGGCATTTTGTATTCTGTGCATCATCAGCTCAACCCCGTTCTGGACTCAATGGCACCTCAGGGGAAGTTTCTGTATAGTCTCACATTCCTTTTCCTCACTGTGTCTGTTGCACAGTAATACACAGCAGTATCCTCAGTATTAACTGAATTCATCTGTAGATATAACATGCTGTTGCCATCATCTCTGGGGATGGTGAATCAACGTTTCACAGGGTCTACATAGCATGTCCTACTTCCACCAGCGCTAATTCTTGCAACCCATTCTAATCCCTTCCCTGGAGACTGGCAGACCCAGTTCATCCAGTAGCTACTGAAGGTAAGTCCAGAAACTTTGCAGGAGAGATGCATAGAACCCCCAGGCTGTCTCACATCACTTCCAGACTCCACCTGGACACCTGCAATACAGAGACATTGTATTAAAGTCAATAATCACATTAAGTCACCACTTCACATTGTCCCTCCCTCTCCATAAAAATACCTTGGAAAACAATCAAGAGGAAATTCTAGTTCAGCTTAAATTTCATGGTAAGTTTCTAGGTTAGTCCTCTGTGTGGAAGGATACATAGACCTTGATCTTGTCTCCCAGCGTTACTTCTACAGGTTTGGGGCTGCTTTTTATCCCAGTAGGGTTGGACCCAATTTGCATGTCTTGTTCTATTCAAAGAGAAGAAGAACATCTTACTACTCCCAGGGAGAAGTCTCTTTTCTGAACTTCAGAGAGAAAGTTCTCTTAGAGCTGCTTCCAAAGCACAAGGGAATGTTGGTGACTCTGAGGCTCCCAGAGTGGATGGTTTTGACTCAGTATCAATCAAACCACTTCACCTCAATAACTCTAAACAGTTGGGTCTAAGACTAGTAGTAGTACTAGTTGGCCTTTTTGTTTTCCTAATAAATTTCTCAATCTTGGTCTCATTTCTGATTGTCAAAGCTTCTCAACCATCTTACATTCCCAGTGCTCAACAGATTGAATCCGTTCTATGAATCACTTTTTTCTCAGGGTCTCCTGTCTGGATTCTTGGCACCTATGCTCTTTTCTGAGTCTTCTTTTATTTCTCTTTACCTAAAATTACATTTCATTTAAATTATTCATCCACAATCCCAGTTATATTCCCGCATTACTTTGCTAGAGGCAGCTTATATTTTTATTTCACTCATCTAAAGTAACAGTGTTCATTAAGAAAATTGCAAGTCTCCTCCAAGAAACACCTTGGCAGCAGAAAGACATATCCTGCTTAATAAGAGACAGAAACTTTTATTCTCTGTGACATTGACCTAATCTTCTGATTTAGGGAGCCAGTATGGTTCATATATCTAGGAGATGATCTTCCTATTTCAACTACCATTCTCATTACCCAGAATATGGAGTTCCACTGCCGACTACATTAAATTTAATTGTATACTCAGCCACATTTTTTCATTCTCACTTCCAGTTTCCCTTTTTTTTTTCCAGAAGAGGGATTTGTAATTTCAGAGTCCTTATGCTTTTAGAGAGCTAGATCCAGAGAACTTTTAGAGATCATCATTATTTTGAAGGATTCAAGTCCCTGGTGGAAAAAAGCCACTAAGTGCCCTCTTGGTTACCATTATAGCATGGAATCTCTGTCACAAAGCAGCAGGGTTCTCAGCCATGTCTTTTTGTTTTTTCTCACCTGCTATTGTGATTACATTTCAGGTGATTCCTTCTTATTCCATTGCTTACTAAATTAAGTATAATTTATAATACAACTCTAAGTTGTGAATGGAGTTCAATGGCTATAGTAGAGAAAAGTTCAGAATAGTCCTCTTCAGGGTGCTGAGTCCATAAATCACTGTTTCACACATGCTAGTATAAGGGTCTCAGATTTTAGACTTTTCCCATTTCAGATCACCCTATGTGTCCTATTCACAGATAGCAAAGGTTGCAAAACTTGAGAGTGTCCCATTCACTGTCTGTAAGGAAATTTAAAGAAATGTTTATTTTATTTTTACTCCCTTAGTTGACATGAACAATTTTAATCAGCCTGAGAGTAGGGTCCTTGGTCATATGATGAATGCAACTGATACTACATGGGCAAGGTCTAGATTAGCCATGTCCCTTGGATTGATATAAAAAAGCAATCTAGCCAGCTGTAAACAAAGGGAGAGTCAGCTCTGCTGCCAAAAGTTGAGCTAAGGAAAAAAGTTGGCCAGGATATAAAATTGTAAGACCAGTTCAGCAAAGATACTGTTCCACAAAGAAAAATGTGGAAGTTTCAAAATAAGAAGGAGGAAGTCAAGGTCTTAAAGTGGAGGAGACTTGAGCTGGCTTTACCATGTGTATTCTTCACATGTATCTTTCAACTAGCATGTTCTATGCATGTACCCATTCTTCACCCTAACTGAGTGTGTTTCTGGGAAAGTGTGCCTCATGTTTATAGTTAGAAAGTTCATACTATACCTTTTGTCTTTACTTTGAAATAATTGTGTCAATTGGTTTGGGCCCATGAGTGTGGATGTATAAACTACTTGGGGTACCTCATGAATATCTCTCTTATAAAAGTGACTAGGAGGAGTAGGCCAAGAAGAGGATGCTACATTGGGAATCACAAATTTTCTTCCTGATATCAGGAAAAAAAATCCTTAGATTTCCTTCAACAAGAATATAAAGAAATTTGCATCAAAATCTGATCAGACATTCTTAGTCATGCGACCAACAAGATGAAGAACTCTCTATCTTCTCCAGTCCTCACAACTCCTCAAATGTTTTCAATATAACAATAATGCATGAGAAGTAAAAGCAATTTCAGCTATCCACACCTTCTAAATGCTAAGCACTCTAACAAGGTAGCAAATTGATGAACTAACAGCAGAAAAGGTTTATAATTCCTAATACTTAACATGTTCCCTCAGAATTCCCTCTCATACTTGCTCCTAAGTCCTTGGAGGAGTGGCAAAACCTGACCCAAAGGCTACAACAGAACTAAATTCTTCCCACTTCAAACTGTGTAGCAGAGGTGGAGATACTGAAAATTAGATTGTTTTCTCTCTTTGGAATAGTATGGCAGCATGCTGTGCTACTAGAAAACTAAGGAACAGAGGGAACTTGAATAGGAAGCCAAATGTATAGGACTCCATCAGGTCTAAAGCAAAAGGTCCTGACATCCAGTTGATGCCATTCATTTCCTCCCTTCAGAAGTTACATGGGCAAAGCCTGAGGCCAATGAAATGTGAATCGCTCTAGTGCAGGAAGAAGCAGAGCTCTGATATCTAGATATAAGGGAATTTACTACCAAAGCAGAAGGCGTTAGAAGGTGATAGATAGATAGATAGATAGATAGATAGATAGATAGATAGATAGATAGATAGATAGATAGATAGACAGACAGAAAGACAAAGATTATGAAAAGAACATTGAAATTATCAAAGATCTCAATAACAAGAAAACTCACATATAAACCCAGTAAGGAATATATTAGTAAGATAAGAAAAGATAGCCACTAGGATACCTAAACTATTTCAAACAATGAATAAACATTGAAGTACAAAAGAAAATTAATCAATACATGATGCAGCAGAAGTCTCTATGAATTCTCAAGATCTCTTGGGAAGTGACAGCATAGAGTCACAGCAAAATATTTCCTAATGGTGCAAGAAAGAAATGAGAGGTAAATGTTGGATTTATCTCCTGCATAACAGACAAAATTGGCAGCACAGAGAAACTTAATTCCAGGTGGTAAATCACACCAACAATAACAAGAAAGAATAAGTGGTTGGGAATATAAGTATGTAAAAAGACAGAAACGGTTTGGAAGGAGAGGAGCAAAAATCAATTACATGAAAGGGAAACATGATCCCTATATAAGTAAAATATATTTCTCTGCAAGTTAGGATGAAAAAAGTCAACTTAAGCATGTTTTTGATGCTTACTCGGTCATCTACTATGTTAGCTACTCCTGCCAGTTTTGTATTATCAGGTCATTCATGGATATGCTAAATATACAGGGTAAAACAAAGACTCTTTGGGCACTTCACTAGAATCTCTGGCCACATTGACACTGAACCCTTGACAACTGCTCTTTGAATCAGGTCAACCAACCAGCTCTGAATCCATAGTGTTATCATCTAATTCATATCTTTCCAGCTTCCTCACAAAAATAGTAGGAGATACTTTGTTAATATATACAAAAGCAATATCCACAGCACTCCCTCTATACTAGTTCATTGATTCTGTCAAAATAGAAATTATATAAGTCTGATGTCAGTTAATGTGTATGAAGCCATGCAGAAACTTTGTAATCACTGCTTCCTTTCCAGGAATGACTCAACAATCCAGTGCTCTTCACACTGCATAACACTTCCATTGAAAGAATTAACACTGCCACCATCACTTCCATTTCTCTCTGTAACTATAGGATTGGGGAGTTGGGGTGAAAACTGGATGTTTTGATGCTGATTTGAAGGATCAGAGGAGATGTGACTTCTCTCTAGACTTTGTAAACTTTAACTTTGGGGCTCAATGTTAGATACAGAGTAGAGAGAATGGAAAAATATGGGGAATACACACTTTCTCTCTATTTTTTTTACTAGCACTTGTCATCCCTACCGAGACACAATAAATATCTACAATAAGAGGTAGTTAATCCTATTTGCCAGTGACAGGATAAAAAAAAAACAGAGGCAATCGTCAAACATTTATTAAGGAACTCTTATATGCCGGTAATTTTTTTAAGTAGGGGAGATACAGAGACAAAAACGAAATCATTTCTGCCCTCAAGCATCTCATCTTACATTTTAATGATGTAGACAACATCTATATATGCCAAATACCAGTGTGACAAATGTGGGCACGAATGTCAAAGGGGATCACAAAAGGCTTTATATAAACGCTAACCTTTTAACTTGGTCTTGAAGGAAACTGGGGATTCCAAGAAATGAAGGTTAGGAGTAGTACATTCCCATCAAGGGGGAAAAGAAATGTAAATGCAGAGTTAGGAGACAAGGTGTTTTGTGTATGGAACAGCAATACGATATAGTGAGTATTTTGTAAACATACAGAAGTGGTAGAAAGGTAGTTGTAAAAGGCTTCAAATGATGGATGGAAGAACTTACATTTCATGCATTTTTCTTCTTATTTTTCCAATTAATGAAAATCTATCTTATAAGAACCCTTGTTATACATATGTATATTTAAGTAAAACAAATTCTTTCATGAACCATTTCCCATGAGCTTTGAAGTTTTGCCATAAATGGAAATTTCAGCCAAAATTATTTGGTTAAATCAAGTATTCCTGTACATGCCTTCAAGGAAATATGTACATTAACTAGGGGTTATTTATTTGAACATGACCAGAAGTTGGAAATTTTTCATTGATATGTACTGTTTCAAAATTGATCACTCAATGTATGATGCATGCATTAGAGTCCATCTTTTTATGAACAGCGTTCTGTTATTAATTTCTTAATGGAATTTTATCCTCCTGATGGTGGAATGAAAGCCAAGTTGTGAAGTATAAAAACTGGGTTCTAATTTTCCTCTTTCTATTTGAGTTTTTTAACAGGACAGTTGGTCAACATTTCGATTTTGATTTTATAATATTAGAGATATAAAGGTTGCATCAACTTGCATTACTTGACCTGGTTATTAGCAAGATTATTTAAAATTGTGTTAAGATCAGTTTTGTAGGAAACTTTTAACAAAGAAAGAGGATCTCTCTCCACAAGATATTTTAAGAAGACAGTCTGGTGGAGATCACTTGGCAATATTCCAACCAGGAAACTTCATCAGATGATGTCCTGAACACCAGACAGCTGTATGAGAAGAGACTTCTGAAGCCTTAAACACACAATTTATTTTTACCTTTTCCCTTGGGGCCTCTGTATCTGTATTTACTAAGGGATACTTATGCTTTTGAATTGTCAATGCCGTTCTCTTTCCCCTGTCCCATATTGTTATAAGTCCCAAAAACCCCTTGATGATATTAGTTAGTGATGCATTGAGAAGGCTACACCTGTCATTAGAATCAGATGGGGGAATGTGACAAATGATTTTTCTTAGTAATCATTGTCTTGGAAACTCATAGCTTCCCTATCCCCTTTTCTTTCAAATTTCAGTCCTCCTTCAAAAGGACATTATGATGTAATCTAAATGGGTCTATTCCTGCTCATTATGTGGCCTAGACAAGTCTGGAAAAATGCTGATTCTCCCCTATATACTATAAGATATATACTAGTGTAAATGCACGCATACATTCTCTAAGAAAGATCATAAATTCTTTTACATTTAAAAAGAAAAATAGGATAGGAAAATCTTCACAGTAAACATATCCTTGTGTTATAAAAGGAAACAAAAAAAAAAACACCAACAAATCAGACATTATGGTATGTACTGTGTCACTCTCACTGACACACTTCAAAAGACTCAAAGGAACCAGAATTACTGGTTTTCCTCCTTCTGTCAGTATCCCCAACCAAAAACACCCTTCTTTTTTTTTACTCCTCTCTTTTCTCACTGTTAGGAGACACCCTATTTTCCAGAGCTAAGGACCAACAAGAAAGCTCTGTCTTGAGATTGGCATAACAACAGTCCTTTGTGCTCACCCTCTGCATGAACTCTGCTGCAACTAAATCACACAACTGATTATTCCTAAGTTCAGGCAAGCACCAACAGGCCCAGGCATGAAGCCCTGCTATAAATGGACTTTTTCTCACTAGGCAACCTTGCCTCTCTACTGTTGCTGAACCTCATTGTTTGATTCTTTGTCTAGCTACAACTACATATATCAAGGTTTAGCATCACTGCCTTGGATCTCCTCCTAGAGGAAACCTCAGCTCATGTGGCTAGTTTCCAACCCCCACTGGAATACAGCAAGCTTTTTGCTTATGACCACCGGTTTTGGTTTTCTTTCATTTTATTTTTCAGAGTTAACTGTGGTTGTGATCACCTGAGTGAGCTCTTTAGTAGTTTTAGAGTTAACAGCACTTGCAAAACCTTTATAACTCTTCAGTCATTTGTTTTCAGAGTTGATACTTCATACCAGAGTAAAAACACAGATAACAATAATAATAATTAACTTTTGTATAAAACTTACTCTGTGCCAGGCACTATGAAAAGTGATTTACAAACATTTCATTAATCCTAAAAACAACTCTGGAATGTAGGTGCTGTTAGTATCCCTATTATACAGATGAGGAAACTGAGGTAAATGAAAGCTAAATGACTTGTCAAAGGTAGTAAGCCAAATGACTATTAACAGGTAGTAAGTGACTGAGCTCACATTTGAATTCAGGTCTTCCTAACTCCAAGCTAAGTACTCTATCCACTGTGCACCTAGCTTCCTCAGATTCATGTTGAAACCTTGAGGTTCTGAAGACAGAACTTGAAAATTATGAATATTTGGAACCAATGATATACTAGAAAATGTTTAACAAGCATCCTTCTGTCCCCAAAAAATTATGCACTTAGAAAAGTTTTAAATTTAATGTGCATTAGCAATATTTTTTGCATTACTTTCTTTAGCCCAGAAAATCAACAACAAAATAAATAAAAACTGAGGCCATTCACTCCTAACTTCCTCTTCTCTCTATTTCATTTCATATCACTAATATGCCATCAACAACTATCTCCTTTACTCCTGCCTCAATGCGATGAAGTCACTTTTTTTCCAATCCTCATCCTTTTTGAACTCTCTGTTGCCTTGACATGACCTCTCTTTTCTCCTTGTTACTATCTTCTTTCTAGGTTTATGGGACACCACGCTCTTGGTTGTCATCCTACTTATCTGAGTTCTCTTCTCCTCCCTTCTTTGCTAGATCATCATCTAGATCACGTAATCTCAACACGGGAATTGCACAGGACTGAACCCTATGCTCTCTTCTTTTCTTTCTCCATAATATGTTATTTATCATCTCATAAATTCTCACTGATTTAACTATTGTTCAGCTATTCAGTCATGTCTAACTCTTCATGCTCCATGGGCATAGCACGTCAGATAATTCTCTGCTATCTTTCACAGTCTCTCCAAGTTGTTGTTTATTGTTTACATGACAATATCTATTTATCCCATTCTCTGTCATCCCCTATTCCATTTGCTCTCAGTCTTTCCCAAGATCAAAATCTTTTCTACTGAATACCATCTACTCATCATGTGGCCAAAGTATTTAAGCATCAGCTTTTGTATTTGACATTATAGGGAAAAGCCTGAACTAATATCTTTAAATATTGATTGATTTGGCCTCCTTCCTATTCAAGGGACTATCAAAAGTGCCTGGGACTCCATGAAACATGAAGAAAAAATACAACAAAATCAAGAGTAAAAAAAATAGGAGAAAATGTGAAATACTTAATCAGAAAAGCAACTGACCTGGAAAAGAGATTGAGGGGAGATAATTTAAGAATTATTGGACTACCTAAAATCCATGATTAAAGAAAAAGACAGGAATATAATTTTGATATTATGTGAGGTCTGACTGAAAAGAAGCTTCAGATTCCCTCCAATTAAAGCTTCATGATCTTCTGATATGTGTATGAATATACATGGGGTATATAAGTATTTATACATATATATGTAGATATACACACATATATAGATCTGCATACATACACATGGGGAGGATCATCTACATAACATAGATATGTAAATGTATAAACACATATACATATATGTATAAAAGGTACGTAGAGATAGGTATGTTTACCACATGCATGTATATGAAAATGCTATAGAATACATAGCAAATGTTAATAATTCCAGATCTGCCTCATGTTTGACAAGTACAGAGAAATTAGTCACCATGGACAAAACATGTAAACCATTAAAAGTATACATCTTCCCTCTATACATGCAAGCAACAGAAATAGGACAGATTCTCAAGGAAGCAAAGAAAATTAGATAGATAGATAGATAGATAGATAGATAGATAGATAGATAGATAGATAGAAATAGATAGATGTTCACTGTGAATTGGGAAGAAACCAAAACCTTAAAACTTTTTCAGTGTAATTCTTCATCTGTTATTGTAACTGGTCTCCTTGTGCTGGGTGTTGTTGAGCTCCCTCTCTAACTCACTTTCCACATGGCCTGTCTGAATGAGGAGGTTTATTTCTGATCTCATACTTCTTTTTCTCACTGTGTCTCTTGCACAGTAATACATGGCTGTGTCCTCAGCTTTAAGGAAATTCATTTGCAGGTGCAACATGTTGTTGCTGTTGTCCCTGGAGATGGTGAATCGGCCTTTCACAGAGTCTGCATAGTATGTGATTCTTCCATCATTCCAAATAACTGCCACCCACTCTGGCCCCTTTCCTGCAGACTGGCGGACCCAGTTCATGCGATAGCTGCTAAGGTGAATTCAGAAGCTTTCCAGGAAAGGCTAAGAGACCCTCCAGGGTGTCTCATATCACCCCCAGACTCTACCAGCTGAACGTCACAATGGATACCAGCTAATAAAGAGCCACTTAAGAAAACAGTCACACAAATACATCACTTCAACGAAAGTTTCCTTAGTCACAAGACAAAACTACCTTGTAAGAGAGTCAGAATGAAAATTCCAGTCAGTCCCAAACCCATTGTTCAGGCTCTACAGTGTCAGTCCTTAATAGAGGAAGGCCGCACAGATGAAAAGCTCTTCTCCCAGAGCTGCAGACACAGGTTCTTGCTGATTTTCTTCCTCAGAAGGAGGAGCCCAATTTCCATGTCTTGCTCTGTTTAGTGTGAGGAAGAGCAACTGCCTCCCAGTGGGAGGAGTCCTCTCTCTGAGCTGCAGAGAAGTTTCTCTCAGGATTGTTTCTAAAACCCTGAGGAAGGTTAGTGACACTGAGAATCCAGTCTATTCTCAATTCCAAGGGAATGGTCATTAGGGTTTTCTATGTGTCTGATATTTTCCCAGCTTATCTCAGTGCCACTTCTAATTAAGAAGGTACCCCAAGCCTTTGTAATTCTGGATATTCAGGGAAGATTGAACCTAACTTCAGAATCTTTTGGGGGGTTTTTGTCAGAGGGAGGAAGGAGGAGGATTTGTGAGTTTACTCTTAAGCACTTCTCCTTACTTACAGGGTTATTTTTTGCTCATTCTTTTTGGAACTGGATTTCCTGCAGATTATATACCCCCAATCCCATTCATTGTCCCTTATATCCAGTGTGCACTCAATTGGCATGAGAGAGGTGACTGTTAAGTTTTCAGTGTGAGCTCTAGTATTTCAGAAATTAGCAGACACTGAAAATCAGAGCTTAACTTTTTTTTAATTCTTTATACTTAACAAAGGGAGAGAGAAAATCTTAATAATGTAGATTAAACTTAAAAGTATATTATGTTAGCATTTTTCCCCTAGAAAACTGGTTGTTTAAAACTTAACAACACATTCAAGCTCATATCCCTGTTTGAGTTGGATTGAGGCAAAAAATAGGCAGGGCATAATAAAGCCCACCGAATTTCTTGGATCCTCCAAAATTCCCCATGTTTTTGTTTCTTAGAAGGACTCTTTGCATTTGTTGAGACAGTGACACCATATCCTCTGAGAAATGTGTGTATCTTCTGGAAACAGGTATAAGCTGAGCCTCAGACTGCGGAGACCTTCCTTTCAGAGCCACCAAGTCTGCTGTCACCTACTGCACACAGTGACATGAGCTGAGACATTTTTCTGCCTTATGTCCACTTTACATTAATTGTTCACCCATTGGGAAAAAGTAGTTCTTATCAGGGACCGTTGAAGTATTCTCCAGCCTTTGTATTGTGTTATTTTGTATATTGTAAAGCCTTAACTGAGTCACTTTGTCTCTCTGATTTTTCTTCCCCTGGTAGAGGCCTTACATTTGCATTCTCCTCTTCAAAGCACATTATGGTTTACAGTTAAATTTCTGTTCCTACCAGATATTTGTTGGCCTCTAAAACCTAATAAAGCTTCACTGACCCTATATTATGTTCATGTTATCTGTCTTTCTATATCATTTCCGTTTCAATAACTCCAAGGAGAAGTGTATATGCCTGATACCTTCCTTTAAGCATTTCTTAGTCCTTTGTAATTTGTGTTTTTGTTTTGTTTTTTTGTTTTGCTTAGGCAATCAGGGGTAAGTGACATGCCCAAGGTCACACAACTAGTAAGTGTCAATTGTCTGAGGCTGAATTTGAAATCAGGTTCTTCTGACTCCAAGGCCAGTGCTCTGTCCACTGCTCCTCCTAGCGACCCCTGTAATTGGTTTTCTGACCTTCTCAATCAGTTTATCTATCTCAGGTCTCACTCTCTTCTATTTTTCTCTCCATATGATTGCCAAAGTTTTCTTTCAAGAGATGACCAATGCATTTTCTTTATACTTCTATTTTGCCCTCTCATTCTGAGCAATTTTCTTGAAAGATGAGATCTAGGTTCCTGTTTTAGTCAAAGAATTCAAGTAGTCTGATAATTCTTAAACTTTGTCTCCTCAATCTGTTTTCAAGGTCAGATTTTTTAGAAAATTGTTCAATTTTCAAAATTTTGACTGTAATATTTGTTGTTGTCTCATGGAGCCATTGGCTTCTATGTGTCCCATTCTAATTTTAAATGATCATGCCAGATTTTCTGTCTCTTTTTCCAAAGTGTTGATTCTCTTTCTAATTCTTTATGCATACTTTTCATCTCTTTTCCACGTTTTCTTTTACCACTCTCCTGTCATTGATGAAAACAATGTTAAACTATTTTTTAAAAACTCATACATTATTCCAAGAAGGCCAGTTGAATTTTTGCCCTGAGCTATGCTTCTCTTTCAATCTTTGAGGCTTTGCCTCAAATGATGAATTGGAATCACTTTCTTCTTCTGGATTTCTGTCCTGAACACCTCTTGAACATGACTTTTTAATGTGAGACTCTTTTTTTGTTCGCTATTTCTTCAAGCTTACTTTATGATTTTGCACTTGATATGATCTGGCTGATCTTTTTGTTATTTGGGGAAATTAAGTGTTGTCTTATTCCAGAGACTTGGGAACTGCTAAGATTGCAAGCTTTCAATACCTCCCAAATAGTCTGATGCAGGGTAAAGGGTGATTGCTGCCCTACTCTCTTTTCTGAGCTCTCTGTAAGTTCTTGACCTGGCTTGGGGTCTGAACAACAAAAGACTTCTGGTAGACCCAGCAGCATTCAGTGAGGTAGGAAATCATCACCCTTTTGCTATGGATATCTATCCCAGTTTGCTCCCCACAAACTTCATAGCCAGACAGTTGCGTATCACTTCTGAACCTGCTCCTCCTTGGTACACAGCCTAGGACCTTCAGAGGAAGAGAAAGATGAAGAATGGTAAATGTGGAGTAGTTAAGAGAGGCCCCTTCCACTGCTTAGTTTGGCTAGAATTTGTGAGCTGGAACCAGTAAGTGGGTGACAAATTTACCAGTTGCCACCAGTCTCTTTTGAGTTGTCCCAATATAAATCTGAGATCTTAGGTTGCCCACTCCATAGCCTATTTCTCTGGACTAGAGGGCTGTACAAATGGTGATCAGGGCCAAATGCAGTCCCCAAGGCCCACGGATCTTTCTGTCTTTTTGTCTATGGTGAAGTGAGATGAACGAAAGACTCACTGTGGTTTAGTCATGCAATTGTTGTTCTCCTTCTGCTCCTCCTTCTCTTCATATTATGTTACAATACTGAGCTTTTTTTTTTAAGAATACGTGTGTTTAAATTTAAAATCTGCTTGATACAGCTAAGTCAGTGATAAGCAGAAATTTTATATCTGTAAATGCTTACATCACTGAAATACAGAAAGAGTAGACTAATGAATTGGCTGTGCAATTTCAAAAAAAAAAGCTGTATAAAAAACGAACTAAAAACCCCAATTAAATACTAAATTGGAAATCCTAAAAACTAAAGGTGAGATTAATAAAGTTCAGGGTAAAAAAAAATTATTGAATTAATAAATGAAACAGGGAGTTGATATTATGGAAAAAAATAAAATAGACAAATAAAATAGAGGAAAAAAACACCAGTATTAAAAAAAATTTAAGGACTTGTTTTCTTCAGTTAATTTTTGTCCTTTTTCCAAGCTACTGAGTCTCTCTTCAATACCTCTGAATTCTTTTCCCAATTTTTCTTCCACCTCTCATACTTGACTTTTAAAATCCTTCTTGAACTCTTCCAGGAAGGTGTTTTGGGCTTGATATCAGTTCATATTCCCCTTTCAGGTTTCAGATGTGGGTATATTGACAATGTTGTCCTCTTCTGAATTTGTGCCTTGATCTTCTCTTTCCCCAAAATAAGAATCTATGATCATTTTCCATTTCTGCCTATTTCCTGGTTGAGGGTGTGTGCCTATTTCCTGACTTAAAAAAAAATGTTGATTTCTCCTGCTGCAGTGAAGGGACCACTTAGCTAAGCTTCTTTCCCTGATCACCCAGGCCTTCCATTTGAATGTTTGACTCTTGCTGGCCCAGGCCATGCATAGGGATGTTTTGATGCTGATAGATGCCTGTCAGTCCGGAGCTTTGCCTTCTGGAGTTGTACTTCCCAAAGTTGTATTAAGTTGCTGGCTGATTTTTCTGCTGCAAAACTACATCACCCATGATGGTTTTCCAAGCTGGTGTCTACTAGTTCCCCTGAGTGTATTGACGCTCTCGAGGTGTCCTGATATTGGCACTTGCCTGCTCCACCAACCTCGGTCCCAGGATCTCCCACTGGTATGTTGAGCTGGGCCTTTCCTCTGGCTTGCTGGGAAGCCTCCGAACCTGTACTGTTCCTCCTCCCCCAGAGCAAGTGGGGACGTTCTGATTAATCCCCCAAGCTTCCTAGGGTAGAAGACTGCTGTGCCCTGTCTTTTTGCTGGCTCAGGGTTTTTCCTGGGACAATATTTTCTAGGCTTTCACAGGTCCCTAAGGAAAGATGAGAGCTACTTACTTCTTAGTCATTTTGGCTCTCAGAAGCAGAACTGGAACTCATAACTTAAAAAAAAAAGTTAAAAATTGCTTTCACATCAATTGGAAGAAAAATAATGTTTAAAATAAGATATGCCTGCGTAATTTACATTTCAAAGATAAGAGATGGCATTAATTGAGCAAAAAATTGAAAAAAAAATCTAGCAAACTATTACCTTAAAAATCTTGTTACTCCTGCTTCTATTTTACCTTTATTTTAGCTGTGAAAATGATTTTTCTTAGCAATCAATATCTTGGAAATTCAGAGGTCCCTATGCCCCTTTCTTTCAAAGTTCAGTCCTTTTTCAGAAGGACATTAAGATGTAATCTAAATGGGTCTGTTTCTGTTCATTATGTTGCCTAGACAGCCTGGGAGAATATTCATTTTTTTCCCATTGTCAAGACAGGTGATATGGAAATTGATGTCTCTTTGACCAGGATTAAGTGATCTGGGTCACATACTGAAAGACCTTCATTTTAATATGGCCCACCTCCCACACTTCATTGGCATCCCATGAGAACCCCTGCTCTTCAAAGGGCATATAAAGCTGTACCCTAAAAATTCAATTCGAGCCAGGAAAAGACGGGAGTAGAATATATTATGCTTCAGCTAAATTTAAAAAGCAGGGCTAGCAATTCTGATCTCTGACAAAGCAAAAGCAAAAAATAGATCTTAACTTGTCTCTTTATTAAAGCTAATTCTGTTTCAAATTGGGGTTTGTTTATGTGGTTTCACAACAAATGGTGCAGTTTGCTCAGATGTTGGACTGGGATTTCAACTT